GATATTAGTAAATGTGGACAAGACCCAAGCCATCCTGTTTACTAAAGAGGGAAAAACTCAAGGAAAATCTAAAATTTTATGATACATCTATTGCCTGGGCCAAGCAGGTCCCAAGCAGGTCCTGGGATGATCCTTAGTAATTCTCTCACACAGGGGCGTAGCTAGAGCGGGGCAAGGGGGGCATCTGTCGAGGGCGCAGAATCCAAGGGGCGCCAAACTGATGTTACGACATTTTAGAATTAAATGTTTTCTATCTTTGGCAAGCAGTAGGGGGCGAGAAATCTTCAGTTGTCCCTGGGCGCTGAAAACCCTAGTTACGACTCTGCTCTCACATGGACCCCACACATTGCATCTATTATTAAGAAGTTTCAAGCACGTAAAGCACAACTCTTTTCCTTAATTGCTCGAAACAGCATTCTATATATTACTATAACAAGTTACTCATTTACAAATCCATCTTGCTATGCTATGCATGCTCTGCATAGGCTTTATCTTGTCATACTAATAGAAAGAAACTTCAAATGGTAGAGATAATAGATTTCCCATGGTAAGTACGTAGCAACATTCACCAGGAACTGAAAATCAAACTACTAACAACCTGTCACTACCGGCTTGCTAAAAACTTTTATGAAAATCAAAAATTGATACATAATCCTATTATCAAAATCTGTCAGTACGATGTGAACGACCCTCTGAACTGTAACAAACCAATGTCTATTCTATGCACAAATAATGAAGAATTACAGTTTTTAATTCTTTCTGCTAGTTATGTATGTTTCTGCTGTAACATATATGTGCATACTTCACTCAGTTTCTCTGCATATCTTCTTTCAACTCATATGATTATATATTGTAAGTTCACCCATACTTTAAATTTTAAGTCTTGTCTCATACCACCTTACTTGAAAGTACCAAAGTTCTCGGATCTTTTTAATTATTGTTACATGTTTTCAGCAATCACACTAGCTCAATGGCTTTCTGGTTCAGCAGCTCTATTACACCTCTAACTCTCAAAATTCATTTTACTCATTATTTAAGCTCACATATTATTTTTACTAATTTATTCTTTAAAAAAAATTCTTTTTACTATTTTGGATTTTGTTTATGTTTTTAGTATTGATTAGAAAAGCATAACTCTATTTGATTAGAGATAAGGTTTCACATCTAGTTACCCTGGTGTGTGCATGTTCCACAGGGAAAAGTAAGACACTGAAAAGAGATTTCCAAACTATAAAGTAAAAATATATAAACTTTTTATCTTATATCAGCATGCAAAGAAACTTCTCCTAATTTAAAAATGTCAGAATTATAATGCAAATGTATAACAATTGTTATCCAGTTAAATGAAAATGTTAACTTTTACACTATTTTTTTAAATAATTATAATTTTCAAACTAATTAAACTTTATCTTACCATTCCTTTATAAAGTTATTGAAATATTTAACAATTTCTTCTGAGTCTTATCATATACTGGAATGTATTTTGTAAATTTACACAGAATGTAAGTAAAATACAAAAACAGCCTATAGGTGTTGCACATGAATGGGAAAAAATCTAGAATAACTAAAGTTCTTAATGGAGAAATCCTGAATTACCACAACTATTTTTTTAAAGAATGTCCAATTATATAAAATTCTTTCATGCCTAAAGGCAGTAATTCTTGACTTAAGAATAATTACTTTTATACTTTTTCCATCTTTCAAGATAAAGGTTTAACAAAATAATATTTTTAGCATAAGACGTTTTTAAAAGTTTATAAAAAAACTTCAATATTAGACCATTTCAAATAATTGAGACATTTAGCAGAATAATTCAGAAAATTTTAATGGTTTTAGAAGACTTTAATCTCATTTCAACAGTTTCTTATTGCTTAGCTTATAAATATATAAAGTTAGCCATATTACACAACTACTAGATCATACACATCTATAAAGGGATATCCAAAAATAACCAGAATGGCAGTACTGCAACTGAACATTTTGTAATTACAAAGGCCTTGTCAGCTTAGGCTTTCTCATACCTGTTTATCAAGCCTATCAGTTTGATTATAGTAGTTCATTATCTGCGCTAATTTATGTGTCTTCCTGCTTGAATCATACTGCCATTTCTGTGACTTGCAAAGAACGAAAAAATGTGTGTAAAATTTTGTTTTTTTGTTGAGGAAAACTGCAGGTAAGACCTCTATCATGCTTTGACAAAACTCTGAAGCTAACACGTTGTTGAATAAGTCAAAAGCCAAAAGACCATTTACCAGATAAGATATTTTTCTCGTTTGATAATTCTTGAGGAAGAACAGCACAGTGCTTGTGTCTCAGTCATACTACCTGTCAAGATTTCTACCTCAAAAGAAAGCTCTCAAAAATAATTCAATGCATTAAAAAAAGCAATTCCATGATGTGGATAAAGTACAAGAAAATATCTTGCTTGCCTCTGAGTAACATTCTGAATCAAAATTTCCAATAATGAGCAAATTGTTGTGTGGATATTGGTGAAGAATACTTTCAGATGAGCTAAACTATTTAGTGTAAAGTAGAATATAACTGTGCACATATGTGGCTGCAATAAGTCATATCTTCTATAGACTTCTAGCTTCCAGAGACAATAAATAAATTTTCACCATTAGTGGAAAAGCATGTCAACTTAAGCCAGTATGACTACATGTAGATAATCGAGACTTGGTATTCAGGGAACAGCATTTCAGAAACAGCCTCAGACACTGGCTGTTTTCTTATTGTGATATCATGGATATATATATGAACTTGAATAACCTTGAGTAGATCTCCAGTGGAAAGGCTCCCAGTCAACCAGAAATGGGCATTATAAAAATCAGCAATATGGCATCCCAACAAGTAACTTTAAAAAAATATTCAAACAATTTATTCATCATTGAAATAAAAGTATCATTCAGATTCTTAACATATGCATTACACACATATAGAAAGCTAACCAAACAAGTTGCATCCTTGGTATCTCTGACTGTAAGAATTCCAAGTCCCATATCTATTGGGTTGGCAACTAAGTAATTGTGGATTTCACTCATAGATGGCTTCAGTTGAATTTTTACGGTTGCAGAAGTAGTACAAAGTAAACACCTTTTGTATTTATAGTTGGCAATTCAGCTGTCAATCGGTAAAAAAGTTTTTTGATCGGTGCGTATTTTCGTTTGGTGTTCATTGAAATGGAAAATCAAAGGAACATTTTCGTCGTTTTTTTTTTATTTCTGCAAAGGGAAAACGCATCGCAAGCTAATAAAAAGTTATGTGCTGTTATGGTGACGAAGCCTTAAAAGAACGGCAGTGTCAAAATTAGTTTGCCAAATTTCGATCTGGTGATTTTTCACTCAAAGTTGAAAAACGCTCTGGTCCTCCAGTTGAAGTTGATGACGACCTAATCAAAGCAATAATCGATTCGGATCGTCCACAGTACAACACGTGAGATTGCAGAGAAGCTTCATGTATCACCATACATGCCATTGAAAATCACTTAAAACAACTTGGCTATGTTCAAAAACTCGAATACATGGGTTCCTCACGAACAATGAAGGAAAAACGCATTTAACGCAACGCATTAACAGCTGCGATTTGCGTAATGAAAATGATCCCTAAAGAAAGAACTAAAGAAACGTAATGAAAATGATCCATTTTTAAAACGACTGATAACTGTGCGATGAAAAATGGGTTGTTTACAACAATATCAAGCGGAAAAGATCGTGGAGCAGGCCAGGTGAACCAACTCAAACAACATCAAAAGCTGAATTCATCAAAGAAGGTTGTTATCAGTTTGGTGGGATTACAAAGGAATTGTCTACTTTGAACTCTACAACCCCGAACGATTATTCTGATGTCCTACTTGAACAATTAACAAAATTAACAATCAGTGAAGAAAAGCGGCCCGAATTGACAAATCAAAGGTGTTGTTTCCACCATGACAATGCAAGGCCACCACATCTTTGGTCACTCGGCAAAAATTATTGGGCTTGGTTGGATGTTATGCCCATCCACCATATAGTCCGACCTTGCCATCTGATTACTTTTTGTTTCGATCTTACAAAACTCCTTGAATGGTAAAAAATTTCATAATGATGATGATGTCAAATCGTACCTGATTCAGATTTTGCTAATAAAACCAGAAGTTTTTGAAGGTGATTATGATGCTGCTAAAGATGGCAACAGATCATTGATCAAAATGGGCAACATACAGAAAAAGTTATTTATTCCATGAAAAAATTGTCTTTGATTTTCTAAAAAAAAATCCGCAATTACTTAGTTGCCAACCCAATATATGGATACCTATGCCGATGTTTAAGCATCATAAGTAACACCTCATTATGGATCACAAAATATTAGCAACAGATGCAAGAATGTTATCTAGACAATGAGTCTCATTTCTTTCTACACTATAAATATGGTTCAATCAGTATATGGAAAGCAGCATCAAAACATATTCTGCAGTTAGTTGATTTAAAAACTATGCGGCAAAAATATAAATATATAGAGAGAGGGGGAACCAAAATAAGCAGATTTTGCTTATTTGGTAAGTAAGTAAATGACATGCTTAGGTGGTAGACGACACTTCTGAAATTAGTAAGTGAAAGGGCACAAATCACTCCCATATGAGTTTCGATGGTACGCATAACTAAAAGAATATAGAGTTCATTGACTTGCATTTTATCTATCAGTTGTAGATGGAAATGAAGCACCTGTTCATATAAGAATTCTTGAGTAGATACAGCTGCCAAATCAACAATGTTTGAGCATATTCACTCAGAACTCAGTGAGACTGGATCCTACTGAGCTTGTGGATGTGATCAGTGCCGGATTTATGTACAAGCTGAACAAGCTATAGTTTAGGGCCCCACTTTCTTGCCCCCCCCGGAAAAGTTATAGCATATCCCATATAAAAAACTGACTCATATCCCTTATTATATATCTCATTTTCACAGCTCAAAAAAGAAGTAACATTTTTATCTCTGGAAAAATATAATCTTTAAATAAATAAGTCAAACAAAATTATATTTTACTAAAATTTCTGAATAAGTTTTTGTATACATTCAGTACAGATTGTTTTGTGATACAAATAGTATAAACTGGAAATTTAAAACTGAACACATTCACTGTACATTAAAAATCAAAATTTATTCAATAAGCTTTTAAAAAACATCATTTGTAATTTACAAAACATTTAAAAATTATTAAACTTATTTAAAAATAGCAGGCATATCACATCTTAAAAAACAAATGATAATAAAAAATACATTGTATTTAAACAAATGACTAGTAAAATAAATACATAAATATATGACTAGCATATCAAAGAACTCTGCTAAATGAATAACCATATAACTATAATGAGATGTTTCTGCCCAAAATAAGCAGTTTCTCTACTTATACAAAAGCACATTCTAATTTCTTAAAAAATAATATGTGAATGTGTGTGCATGTGCCTGTGTGTGCACTCACTTCGCAGAAGACATTCATTCATTCAGATTAAAAAACACTGGAATAGAATTCTCTGTGTTAAGTTGCTACTATTATCTAAATCTTATCTTAAAAACCTGTTTTCAAGAGCCTAAACTCAAAATTATGTAAACAGTCTTTCAACAACTTGAAATCTTTCAACAATAAAAACAAATAAATAAATAAGAAGAATAAAACAAATTAAGTAAATATCACAACTTTAGTACCATTTGGATGGCAATGTTCATCTTACAAGAATTGCACATTAACAACTCAGGAAGTACTTTGCAAAATCTCAAAAACAAAAAGCTAGAATTGAAATTCTTTTTGCATTAGGCACCTACATTATCAAGATTTTTCTTCCCCCATCTCTGCTTGATGGAATACAAATTAAAAATCTTACCTCAATCATATTTTCACAAGAGTATGAATATACTCCTTAAATTGAAATTACATTTCCCTTTAAACCATTTTTAATGTACAATACTGCGAATCAACATTTTAAAAATTGTTTTTTTTAGTCTTTGAAGTAATATTCTAATGTTGTTTATTATCTGTACCATTTGCTCCTGAATTCTGATATTCTAATAAAATTTCCAATCCAGCTTTATGCTTTTCAATCAGTTCCAACATCTATAACAAATAACAAAGTAATATACATTAAATAATATGATGGTAATAAGTGTCAAAGAAAATAAAAGAGATTAAATATAACTCATGTATTTTAAGCAGAGATAAGTGAAATTAATGCAGACAAAAGTAAAATTATTAATCTGGACAAAATGAAAACAAATAATTACATATTAATAGTAACTATAATATATGTTTAGCATAAAACACACTTATAAAAAAATCAAAATCCTACTTCTGTATATAAATCTAATACAGCAGAAAATTAAAGGATAAACTGTTTTAATTAAAGAAAAATATATTATGTTACAACAGCTGAAGCCAGAAATATAAGCTGAGTCTTTTCAGCTGTCACAGAAGATTTAAAATAACATTAAATTTGATGAACCACTGCCAACCATTCAGCATTGTTAAAATATTTATTCAGAAGTTAAGGCAACAAGAATCAAGGTAATATTCATTAATATATAAACTCAGATTGTTAATAGATATCTCTTTCATATTGTCATAATATTTATCTGTACTATAGCCAGTATATCCTTTAATAACATTTTAATATTTCTCAAATCCAAAAATTTGCTAATTTAACTATATTATTTATTTATGTGATTAAAAAAAATCTGCTATTTAAACAAAATTCCATTCAAGTATATATCTACCGATATCAGCATGGTACAGATTTTACATTTCTAAAGTGCTCATAATAAAAAAAAAAGGTCCCAATTTAGATTATTGCAAAGTTATCATAGCTACTCAAGATATCAAGGCCCCTATTAAATTTATAAGTGAATTAGTTTTTCAACTGCTAATAGGAATAAAGCTTGGCCCACTCAGCAATCTAGCATCACTTTCATTGACACTAATGTAGTAAGAGGCACTAGTAATATTTCATTCAACAATATCTGGAAAGATTTGAGCAGTTACTTCCCATCATTTTGACATTTTCAGTAAAGCCTTTTGGTCAAAAATTCATGTTTGTTCTTTTTTTTTAACCTTTGTATATTTAGAATAATTTTAAAACTTGAAAACATTGTCAATAAAAAAATAAAATGGAAACCTAGGGCTTAAAATGATTTAGCAGAAACTGGATAATATTAAACTAACTTATGAGTAGGAAGTTATTCAAAACTTTAAATGTAAATATGAGTATATATTTTAATGTAACTATATATATGCAACTTTAAATGTAAATATGAGTATGTACTTTAATGTAAATATATATATATATATATATATTTAAGATGTATACTCATTTGCACAAAATTTAAACTTTATTGTAACATCAAGTACTTATAAAAGGTATATATTTTATATATATCATATATATATATATATATACACCAATATAAAAGGTATATATTTTCATAGCTGCCATTGCTTAGAAATGTGAAAACAACACAATGTTACAAAATGCTTCATAAAAATGGAAACCAAATACTTAAGCAAAATTCTATTGAAGAAGGCAAGTATACTGATAATCCGAGAATTAAGATGGATTTTCACTCACTGGTTATTGAAATCGGTTAGAAGTATTCCCTCAAACAGCCCATAATCATGCTTTCAAAAAATGGCATCATACAAATTTAGTCTGATAGTCAGGCATATTTGATAATTTGGCATTACTGAGGTCTTGAATGTGTTAAATTATCAGTTTTTCATGCTATTTTACAATTTGTAACATAAAAATCTAAAGCATTACAAAAAATTGAGTAAATATCGATTGCCCCTAATAAAATTTGCAATTACATTGAAAAAGAAAGATTTAAGAAACATACTTTTTATTTTGCCTGTTTCAGAGAAATCCTGCATCATAACCGTTAAATTAAACAGTTGTTTTTAGATAGGAAATCCATTAACAAGACCACTTATTTTAAAACAAATTACTATGCCTAGGAACACTGTGATATGACTTTCACAACCAACAACATTATTTTATTATATATTCAGTCTGATAGCTAATGAAATATAATTAATAAGCCTATTAAAAATGCAAAATTATGTCATTTAAAATTTTCTATTTTTGAGATTAGAAACACACTTTTTATATTTTTTCAGAAAGTGAAAATCAATTTCACTTTCTCTGTGATTCAAACCACAAATCTACCAATTTCAGCTAGATGTGCTAACTGCTTACATCACAAGACTGAACTGGATTGGATTATTTGAATTACAGAAAACACGTGAGGACTACTGCCTAGGGGCAAAGATGCTTTTATGGAGAACATTCTAAAGAAAATTCTCTCATGAAGAAAATAACACAACATGAAAATGAAGAAAGCAATGAAAATTTCCACGCAGCCAGCAGTTTGACAGGAGTTTGAACTTGAGTTGAACAACCAGAGTTGAGAGATTTTTGTGGCTTGGCTGCTAGTGTGATTACCTTGTAAGAACATGTATTGGAAAAAAGCAGAATTCCCTTAACCCCCCCCTTAAAAAGGTGACTCGGATTTGCAGCTCAAAACAGAAGTGAGAAAAACTATTTGTTCATTTCATTAAAGATCATGTATACACATCTTTAAATAAATAAGTCGAAAAAACTGCCTAGGGGGAAAGATGCCTTTGAGGATTACTTTCTAAGGAAAATTCTTTCATGTTACACATGAAGAAAACAATGAACATTTCTGTGCAACCAGCCCATTGACAGGAGTTTGAACTTGAGTTGGATTACCAGATTTGAGAGATTTTTATGGCTTGGCTGGTAGTGGCATTACCTTGTAAGAACATGCATTGGGGGAAAAGCAACATTTCCTTAATCCCCTCTTAAAAAGGTGAATCGAAAAAGACATGAGATCCAATCAACCAAATCCTATGTGATGATAACAGAGTATGCAAAATATATTTTACACAATATCCAGAAATTTTGTGGAAAAATATCTCACTTTTGTAACTAATAAAAGAAGTGTATGGGAAAAGACATGAGATCCAATCAACCAAATCCTAGTGATGATGAATTATTGTCCACCTTGTTTTTAACTCAGATACCTCTGCACAGCCTGAGGTTTTATGATGCAGGAAACATGAGAAATATATTATATCCTTGCCAGGATCAAACCATAGATCTAATTTGCTAACAACTTACACCATGAGAACATGGTAACCACTTACATCATGAGAACATCAAGGAGGGAATATGATAATTTCTCACAAAGTTCTTATAAGTAATATAAAATTGTGTTATATTTTTTCAAAAAATAAACACATCTTCATGATATGAGTATTTTTTTCCATCCAATTTAGTTTATGAAGATTTAAAATTTGAAAAAATGCAATTTTCTTACTTGTTTTTGATAAGCTAAGCCTCGTAACACTTGCTGCCAGACTGTAACCAAATCGATCCTTTCTTCAGGAAATTTTAAAATTTCAAATTCTATTTCACTTTTTTCTGATGGTGTGGAACTCTCTTCTCTATCATAATCTTTATGGAAAACCTTAGGAGGCAGCTTAGTCCTTTTTTTGGCTAAATTAAAATGAAATCTTTTCTAAACAAACTTTCTACAAAAAACATTTCTACCGATTGAGCATAATATCACACACACACAATATATATATATATATATATATATAACTCTTGGAATGTTAAAACCTGGTTATTTTCTAAAGCAATATTTCAACTCAAGGATGGCAGGAAATTTATTTGAAAACATAAAACTAATATGAATAATTTCAAATCCTATACTATGCTTAAATAAATTTATTAGATTGATTACTGTAGCAATATGAATGAATTCATAAAACCAGCATTTCTTAATCTATGGTCCATGAACCACAAGTGTCTTTGAAGCTCTTGTAGTCTTCACAAATTTCCCCCAACAGACAAAAAATTCAAACTAACTGAGTATACCCCCCTCTTTTTCCCCAATACAGTTTTGTGAAATTTATTACAAGTTACCTATCAATGGACTTCCAATAAAAGAAGAATTTAAAGCACTGTGACTGCAATGTTTTGTAACAGCATACATATAAACATAGAAGCATGTTCACTCATCTCATTAATGTGAGGACAGTATAAAGTCCAAGATTCAGATGTCTAGTATCCAGAACCTTCTAAAATTCGAACTACTAGCAATCTTTTATTTATTTATTTATTTATTTGGTATACTTTACACATGTGCATTTCATATTTTTCCATTAAAAAACATGTGGAGAATCAGATTTTTAACTTCATTTTGACCTTAAATAAAAAACTCTATATTGAAGAAACAATAATTTTTAACATAAATTGAATGATCACTAATTTTGCTCTATCGTTGCCTTTTTGATCGGCATACATCTCTAACAGGAACATTCTACATCAAAACATCATTTATTTTACATCTACTGAATAGTTTATATCCATGACACCAACCTAACAAATCATTATTTACTAATCTTTGTTTCCATTTTCCCATCAGTGTCAAGACACAGTAGCCTAAGAAATGACTCATGAAGCGATATCTTAATAATATTATTTTATACACATACATTTATGCGATATATTATTATATTATTTTATATATTTTATTATTTAATAATATTATTTATATATTAGTAACTGGATACCAAAGAGCACACTAACTTATTACATTGACATTACAGGCTTTAACTAACTTTGCTGCAAAGTGCCAAATATGTTGACAAGGAAAAATTAACAGAAATTTCTTTCCATATGCAGCAAAAAAAAAAAAAAAAAAAAAAAAAAAAGACTTTGTAAATGATACTCTTAAACCAAAAGATTGCACTTAGTCTGGTTTGAATTGAAATGACTGATTTGTTATGCAGATAAGTCTAGGACCAGGGCCAGAGCTGGTGCGGCCGCACCGGGCGGCAGAATTTACAGGATTCAATATTTCTAGAATTTAGAGAAGCACCAAACAACAAAATTAAGGAATGGAAAAATCTTTAGAATTTAGAGAGTCACTTGGCAGCAGAATTTAGGACTAACAGAGACTGCACCTGGTCACAAAATGTCTAGTGCCTGCCCTGGATAAGCTTATAAGCATATATGGGAATTTAGGGTCTCAGATAAGCCCATGCTGTCCCAGATAATATGTGTGAGAAATTTGTGAAGTATAATAAATAACTAATATAATTCAAGCTTAATTTTATCAGCATGCGATAGAAGCCATATGAAGTTTAGCGGGATAGCATGTCTTTAGTCACCAGCCTCTTATTGTAATATATAACAGTAGTAGATATAATGTATAGCAGATGTTAGCTAAGCTTTAAGAAGATAGCTGCAAATTTAAAGATATTTGGTTTTTACAAATAAAAAGCAAAATTTCCCAATTTATGAAATTTGTTGAGAAGTGGTAATAAATGAAGATAACAGAACAGATCTGCCACTGTGATGACAGTATCCCAATCATAAATCAACTAAAGGACAAGGAAATCTGGGGTATGGTCCCAAACTCAGAAAATATTGCTATTGATACTGAAGAAAGCAAAAAAGAACTTATTTGAGAGCAAAAAAATTCTGATTGATAATTTATTGGGAAATTACAGGCCTTAAACAATGGAACTTTGTAACTGAACAAGAAATTAGGTTGATATGTAGAACTAAAGAGATAGTATTAGCCCAGAAAACGAAGCAACTTTAACAGCTTACATTTAAAGAAATGCTTCATTATTTAATAAACAACTATTTCATATTTTCAGTTTTACAATTTCTACAAATCATTTTACTACATTTAAACTAATGGTCTGATAACTGGAAAAATTCCAAATCCAAAATCATCGAAGTCTCAACGAGTCCGAATCTCAGACTTTGTACTGTGCCAATATTTATTTACTTTTTAGTTATTAAGATAAAGATTACTCAAATTATAAAAGCTGAGAATTATTAGAAAGAAATTTAATTTTTAATTTAATACCAATATAAAATTAAATGAATTTTAATTAATTCTATTCTTAAATATATGTAAACAGGTAGTAACATATGTTAAAGAACTTCTTTTAAAGAGGCGATCGTAAGGTGATCCACAGAACATTCTACTTTATAAAAGTGGCCCCCAACTGAAAAAAGTTTGAGAAACACAAGGCTAAACAAAATGCTAAAATAAAAAATAAATAAATAAAAATTAAGGGAAAAAATTAAAAAAAAAGAAGTTGAATTTAGCTTTTCTTTACAATAATAACTTGACAATCCCATTCCAGAAAATATAAAGCACATTTAAATAATAATATTCATAAAAGTCATTTTCTCATTAGAAACAATTAAAAGATAATATTTCCCAATAATCATTTAAAATTTGGACATGCGTGCTTGCAAAAGTATATTAATAATACATTCCTAGAGCAAAAAATATAAAAAGTCAACTATACTTTTGCCAGAATTTAAATCCAGTTCTTCCAGTTATAAGCTAAACATGCTAACTACTAATGCCGCAACAGCATGCAGAAAAATGCAATAATTGCCTTGAATTCTTCCTCACTAAACATTCGTTGGGGAAAGACGTAACACCCAATCAACCATATTCAGATGGGGATGAAAGATCAGAAGGGTTAACTTTGAATACAATGGGTATAAAATAGAAATCTGGGTACTATTTTAGAGTGAGTAAATTAATATTTGGGAGTAGAGGCACGAAACATGAAAAATTAACTGTGTCTTCACTATAATCTAATCAGATTCATCTCAATTGAATTAGAGAGCTTTCCATTGCCAGCAGAATATGTTAAGCACTTACACCATGACATAATGAACAGGAAAATGTAGTAATTCCTTACATATTCTTTTTAATGAGATACCATTAAACTTTAAGAGATTTTACAGGAAAAAAGAAATATATTCATGGCATATAAATTCACTGCTTGGAAAATCACCTATTCAGTATTGGTATTTTTTACAGCTCATCACCTTATTCCTCAGATCCAAATTCCTTTCAGTGCACTTGACAGCCACTGGGTAAATTATGGAACCCTCTTCAAACCATACAGAAACTCAAATTAAAAATACCATGGCATGTCTTCATTAATTTGATTATTAACAGCTAAGAGAAATTGTTTGATAGTAGATTAGTATTTGATAGCAGAAACTTGACATTTTTAAGACAATCAGTAGAAACCATTTTCATAGTAAGTTAGTTAAAATATCTGAAGACAATGAAAAGAATTCTACAAATTTAATTAATACAAAACCTACAAACCCAAAATATTTTGATATGCCGTTTCTGCTAATTGCTCTCTTCTATTCTTTTTGACTAACCTCGGCAAGATAAGGTCATTTCCTAAAATATTTGTTTGCCTTTGAATCCATTCTTTAACAGCTGATAAACCTGTAAAACAGAATAACCATAAAAATATTTAAATCATATCTGTCTAAAATAAAGAGCAGTTAAAGCGAAATATATTATTTGCATAAAAACATAAATTATTGGATCTAATGGTGGAAAAATGTAAACAATTTATTCTCACTAATATCTAATTCTTATTTAAAGTACAATTGAAATTTTGCAGTATTTTAGATGTAGTTACTAATAATTGTATGATCAGAAAAATTAGGTTTTAAAAAAAAACTAATTTTTTCATACAGAAATACTTTAATATTCATGCAAAAATTAAAGAGGTTGCTAAAAACTGCAGATGAATTGAAAACTGTTGATTCGCTAATAAAATAAGGCAGAACATTTTACTTCCAGGATGCTTTCAATATTAAACATATATCTGATAGACAGCTCACATCTACTGAAATTTTTGAAATTTTTCTTCGATTGTAATATATTTAAAATAAAAATACAATCAAGTAACATAATTTTAAATTTCCAGATTTTTTTTTAATTGAATACATACTTTTTCACTAAAATTGTACCACTTAATTTTTTTTCATACTTTATCGTTTATCGTTTTTCATTAGTATAAAGTGAAGTTTAAAGCTATTATTTCTCATATATTGATTAATGTATTGCCTTTTCGTACTCATTGTAGTACTAATGTTAGTTCAATTATAAATTAAATGGTTTTATTTCTTGCGCAGTGCAGCGCGTGACGAATATTAAAAGAAAGCTAAGCCGGAAAATTGAAAATACAAGAAAGAGCGCGTGCATTAAATAATAAATATCTATCTCTTTTTGATTTCGAGAAAGTACTGGAAAATTCTAGCGCGTGATTTTAAAATCTTATAAAAGGAGGAAAACATCTCAAGTTTGTAGTAGTAGTTGCTTAGTTTGTTGTTGTTTAGAAAACTACTGTTGTTGATTGTAGCGAATTCGCGGATTAGCGTTCTTTAGCTGTTTTGAATTACATTCTATTGGACATTTGAGTAGTTAAAAGAAAACTACTGTGAGATATTGTAATACTGCATGATAATTTGAGAAAATTTAAGCATTTTGTTGTGATAATAATAAATTTTTGTTCATTTTTCATCGGACTTGTGCATTCATTTCATAACGAACCCATACGCACGCAACAATTTTTGGTGTCAGAAGTGGGATTTGAATGCCAATAACAAGAGCGATGGAAGAACAATTGAGACAGCTCATTAGTGCTTTTGCTGCATTCCAAGAAAAAGATGGAAGCTGGCCAAGCATCATTTAAGGAAGAAATGAAATTGGGCCAGGAATCCGTTAAGGACGAAATGAAAGCCGTTCAACTGGTCAAGAAAATGAAAAGAGAAATTACTTGCATAATAGAAAATAAATTTGAAGCTATGGAAGGCAGAATTGAACGCAGTTGAAATAAAGTTGGACATATTGAAGAAAGAGTTTTCTTCTTCGGTGAAAGAAGAAATAGAGAAGAGTTTCTTCTGTAAAAGAACAAATTGATGAGAGAGTTTCTTCAGTTGCCAAAGAAATGGATACTTTAAAGAAATTCGTAGCGTCGGCAGGGAGCAGGAGTGATGATTTTAAATTCTTACCAATGCCTGCTCGTCCACCTCTGAAGCTATCCACATATGATGGGAAGACCTCCTGGCAGGTGTATAAGACACAATTTTCTATCGTGGCGGATGCGAATGGATGGGATTCCCAAGCTAAGGCCTGTCATCTCGCCGCTTCTCTAAGAGCCGACGCAGCGGATATCCTTCTGACTCTTCCCGAAAACAAAAGGTTAGATTTCGAAGCTCTGTCCGGCGCCTTGGAGTTGCGCTTTGGGGAGAAGTGTTTAAAAGACTACAGCAGGCTCCAATTAAAATCTCGTCAACAGAAGCCTACCGAAACACTTCAGGAGCTCGCCGCGGATGTTGAAAAGTTGTCCCATCTCGCCTTTTCGGAATGCCCGACGGAAACAAGGGAAATCCTGTCCTTGCAATACTTTATCGACGGCATCCGAGATACTGAAATACAGAAAGCTCTACGAATGGCGGATGTAAAAGATTTAAAAAGTGCTCTAGTGTACGCCATGAAATTTGAGGCAGCCCAGCAAGCCACCTCGTCGAGACCGCCACCCAGTCAGAGCTGCTCAAGTCCAGGAGCCAGGGGATCAAGTCCACCGCTCGACTTGACAATTTAACTAGACAACTGAACGCCTTGAGACGGAATATTGGTGAGAAGAAACCGACCGTTAAGTGCTGGAACTGCGGTGCTGAAGGACACATACGACGAAACTGCAAAACACCCCAGGTACTGATGTTAAGACCGCTTCTAACAAGCAGCAGGGAAACTAATTAGTGGCCATCTCGCGGGGGCGAAGGTTGCCAGATAATGAAAAGCCCCCGTTTAAACGCGTTCAGATTTCTGCAGTGAGAGGCGGCAGTAATGGACTTTTCATAATAGGACATATTAATGGAGTTCCGTGCAATATGACTATAGATACAGGAGCCAACGTCACCATCATCCGAAAAGATTTAGCTCAACAACTAGGAAACAAACTTATCTGGACGCCGCCCTGCGTTTACCCTCCAGACTGTGTCCGGTGAGAAGATCGACATCGACGGAAAAGTAAATGTTACATCACGTTTGGAAGTGCCGCTTACCATCACACGGCATATTGTAGCAGAGATCACTGATTCTTGCATACTCGGATTGGACTTTCTAAGGAAATACAATTTTTCCTTGGATTTTAAAAATAACGAATTGCATTCATTCTACACCCTGAGGACATAGCGTTATTTTTCGTTAATGATGAAGAAGTTAAATCTGTCCATAAAATCATAGCACAAGACTATATTACAATACCGGCAAGAACAGAAATTTTACTTCCTAGATCCATAGCCGAAAATAGAAATTTCCGCTACGGCATCATAGAATATCCCAATAACTGTAATATCCCAAAAGGAGTATTAGTAGCCTCAACACTCGTCAACCTATCCAGAACGGTTATCCCGGTGAGAGTCGCCAATGTAACTGAAAAGTCGAGAGTTATTAAGAAAGTGAAGTGGTTGCAACATGTACGCCAGTAACCAGCGTTGAAAAAAACAGTAACATCCCAGAATCCGTGTCCTCAGAGAGCATTACATCGGAGTTATTGCAGAATGCACAATTAAACGATAAAGAGAAAAATGCTGCCGATCGCGTCATTAAAGATCTTCAAGTTGTTTTCTCCCGCTCATCTTCTGACGTAGGTCGAACTAGTTTGACACAACATAGAATAGATACTGGCGATCATCCCCCGATCAAGCAACATCCAAGACGTCTACCGTTTGCTAAACAGGAAGAGGTGCGAACATTGTTAAAAGATATGGAAGAAGGCAATGTCATCGAGCCTTCAGCGAGTCCATGGGCATCTCCCATCGTTCTCGTCAGAAAGAAAGACGGCTCAACAAGATTTTGCATTGACTATCGCCGGTTGAATGAGGTTATGAAGAAAGACAGTTACCCTCTTCCTAGAATTGATGACATTGTAGACACTCTTTCTGGAAGCAAGTGGTTCTCAACACTTGATTTAAAGAGTGGGTATTGGCAGGTAGAAATCCATCCTGATGACCGAGAAAAGACGGCATTTACTACGGGACAAGGACTTTGGCAGTTCAAGGTGATGCCGTTTGGACTGTGTAATGCGCCGGCAACATTCGAAATGTCCTTATGGAGAGTGTTTTGAAATGGCCTTTCCTACGAAGCCTGTCTGATATACCTGGACGATCATCATCATCAGAAAGAGTTTTGACAGAACATCTAGAAAATCTTAGAAAGGTGCTTCAAAAACTGAAAGAAGCCAATCTGAAAGCTCGAGTCCCGCTAAATGCAAATTATTTCAGACAGGAAGTGACTTACCTGGGACATGTCATCATCTCTGCAGAAGGTATGTGCACGGATCCTGAAAAGGTATCAGCGGTTAAATCCTGGAACGCGTCCCGAAAATGTCCATGTCAGCTGAGAAGCTTCCTAGGGCTTTGCACCTACTATAGGAGATTCGTGAAGACTTTTCTTCCATCCGCATAGACTGACTTCACATGGAGTCATGAAACAGAGAGCAAGCAAAGATTCTTGTGGACAAAGGAATGCGAGGATGCATTTAACAACTTAAAGGAAGCTTTAACATCTGCTCCAATCCTGACGTATCCTCAGCTCGACAGACCATTTATTCTCGCACACCGACGCGAGCAATGAAAGTGTCGGTGCTGTTTTGTCCCAAGAAATAGACGGCCAAGAACGTGTAGTGGCATTACTGGAGCAAGTGCCTGTCTAAACCGGAGGAGGATAAATTACTGTGTTGCGAGAAGAAACACAGAGTCGAAACCGTAGAACAGTGAGGAAACAGTTGCTTGCGAGAATCAAAACCGTAGAACATTTCCATCATTATCTATACGACAGAAAATTCCTGCCTTCGCACGGATCCATGCATCATTGGCCATGGCTTTTTAAATTTCAAGAAATCCTGAGGGTCAAATAGCCAGGTGGATACAGAGACATCCAAGGAATATGACATCACTTATCCGTCATCGGAAGGGATCAACACACGGAAACGCCGATGCCCTGTCTAGAAGACCTTGTCCAAGTAAGCTGCCGATATTGTTCCAGGGTGGAAGGGAAATACGAGCTTGCTTACTCCGGTCGCAAGACAAATTACAAACATCAGCATCGGCTGATCGATGATCCCGTGGAGTGATGATGAAAAGTCAGGAAAGACTAGCTGGGAAGACGTCGACTTAAAACCAATAATTGAATTGAATGGAGTCCTCAAGCAGGAAAACCTACATGGCAGGACATTCCGATCTACAGTCCGACGAACAAAACAGTGCTGGGCACTATGAGATTCACTTCACATTTGAAACGGCGTCTTATACCGGAAGTTCGAATCGGATGATGGAAGACATTGCCGATGGCAACTGATACTTCCAAGAACGCCGGATTCCTGATGTCCTCAAAGAACTACATAACAGCCCTACAGGAGGTCACTTTGGAATTATGAAGACCTTACTGAGAGTTCATGAGCGCTTTTACTGGAATAATGCAAAGAATGACGGCAAAGTGGTGCCGATCTTGCGATGCCTGTGCAGGTCGAAAGGACCGAGGAAACGCAGCCGAGGCAGACTGCAACGTTACAACGGAGATGCGCCTTTTTAACGTATCGCCTTTGACATCCTGGGACCTCTGCCACGAACTGCTGATGGCAGCAAATACATACTCGTTGTCATTGATTACTTCACCAAGTGGCCTGAAGCTTATCCTATTCCTGATCAAGAGGCAGTCACAGTAGCTGAGGTAATGATACAGCACTTGGATTTCCAGGTTCGGAGTGTGCCTCTTCAGTTACATTCCGATCAGGGAAAGAATTTGCCTCGGCAGTAATCAAAGAAACTATGCAAACTACTTGGCATTGACAAAACTCAAACGACGCCATTGCATCCCCAGTCGGACGGCATGGTAGAGAGGTTCAATCGAACCATCCTTAATAACCTCTCATTAGTGGTTTCCAGAAGAACCAACAGGACTGGACAAGAAATTATCACTCTTTTTACTGGCTTACCGCAGTGCTGACTCTGACTACCGGCTATTCCTCATCACAGATGCTCTTCGGTCGTGACCTTCGTCTGCCTTGTGATCTATTGTTTGGCCGCCCTCCGATGCTCGTTCATCGTCTGAGGAATATATTCAAGATCTCCAGGCCCGGTTTGAAGTGATGCACAATTTTGCACGAGAGCGAGTCACTTGGCGACGAGAAGATGAAGACCCGATACGACACAAGAGCTACTGAACATCAATTCCACGAAGGAGACAAGGTGTGGTTGTGGAATCCGACTCGACGGAAAGGACTTTGTCCGAAATTTACAGTCACCTTGGGATGGGCCGTACACAGTCCTAAACAGGCTGAATGACGTCGTGGTTCGGATTCGTAAGTCTTCGAACTCTAAACCTAAAGTCGTTCATTATGACAGGTTAGCTCATTACTATGGCCATAGTACATAATGTAAATAATTGTAAATAGTATAAGACCATGGTCCATTTTGTTTTTAAATGTGTATTTGATTTGTATTTGATAGCATTTGATTTGTTTTATGTATTGCATTTATTGTTCATGTTGTTTATTATTGTAATGTAATGCTTATTAATGCATTTATGCCACCGTTGTAAGTTTAGCTTCCTGTCCAGGGATTGTACTGCCCGGGACGTGCAGTCCTTGGGAAGGGGGCAGTGTTACGAATTACGTATTTAAAAAGCTAATGTTAGTTAAATTATAAATTAAATGGTTTTATTTCTCACGCAGTGCAGCGCATGACGAATATTAAAAGAAAGCTAAGCCGGAAAATTGAAAATACAAGAGCGCGTGCATTAAATAAATAAATATCTCTTTTTGATTTCGAGAAGTACTGGAAAATTCTAGCGCGTGATTTTAAAATCTTATAAAAGGAGGAAAACATCTCAGTTTGTAGTAGTAGTTGCTTAGTTTTGTTGTTGTTTAGAAAACTACTGTTGTTGATTGTAGCGAATTCGCGGATTAGCGTTCTTTAGCTGTTTTGAATTACGTTCTATTGGACATTTGAGTAGTTAAAAGAAAACTACTGTGAGATATTGTAATACTGCATGATAATTTGAGAAAATTTAAGCATTTTTGTTGTGATAATAATAAATTTTTGTTCATTTTTCATCGGACTTGTGCATTCATTTCATAACGAACCCGTACGCACGCAACAATATGATTTCTTTTCTTTCAATACAAAGTTTACTGTTAGTTTTGCATATTTTACTTAGTCATTTAGGAATTCAAGATGCAGCAAATATAACTTCTATCCCTACACCAATTTTTTTTTTTTTTTTTAATAACGAAAAAGGAGTTTTTAGAGTGAAACTAACAGAAATCAAGGGGTGGGGGGAAATACCAACAGAAGTTTTACAAAAAGAGGAGAAAACGTGAGAAAGTAAAACAAAATACTTTGGCCCAAGGCCCAAGGCGTTTGACTTCCGGAGTACCTTTGCAACTTAATGCAATTACCTCCACAACTTCGATAAGGAAACTGAGTTGGATAAGGAAAAGCAATGGCTAAAGGAGAGATGAACAGACCATTAAGGGTTTACACTGAAAGAAATGAATAAGGAGTCCACATATGGGACGAGCATTCTCTCTGCTTTCAACTTGTAGTTAAAGATTGAAAGAGAGAAAGGTGTTGATTGAAAAATACTTTGGGGGAGTGAAAAATTAGCATTTTATTTAGCATTAGAATGCACAATTTAAGTCAAAGTGTGAGGAAAGAAATACAACAAAATTTACCAATATGACACCATAAATGCATGTATGGCATGAATAGAAAAGTAGATTTGAATTATTGGAAAACTCATAAACTAGAAAATAAAAAATAAATAAATTGACCACAAATTTAACCAGCAATGTTACATAAAAACAGTATCAATACTAATGTTTATTTAAGTATTACATTAAAGGTGATGCTTGACTAAACACTGAGTACCACCTTTTTAAGAAAAGCATCTCCAAAGAAGATTAAAATAATCTAGAACCATGCATGGCCATCTTAAAAGTTCAGTGTTTACCAACAAACAGCACAAATTATAATTCTAAAAAGTATTTAAGAAGTGATTTTCTAAAAAGCATTAAAAACTGGTTAATTAGAGTTAATTAAAAAACAATAAACATGCATAACATACATACCATCAGGATGAGAGAAACAATAGCTTGAAAGCAAATTTTCAACTTGCATATTCAGATTTTTTATTTTTTTATCCTTCTCTACAATCCTCAGTCCAACATTATCATCTTTATTCAGCTGCTTTACAGAATCATAGTTCAGTTGTAGCCTTTCTAAAATTCCAATTGTAAAAGAAACTAAGTAAATTTTTTCCAAAATTAAAAATATAATATATATGGTAAAATTATAAAATATATCTTCTCAAATCTTCTTTTTTATTTGTTATTTCTCATTTCTATCCAAAAAATAGCAAAATGCTTACAGTAATTTTTTAATGCATTATTCCAAAATTAATAGCTATCAGAACAATTCTCAAATAATGCAAAAAAGAAACATACTGTGAGGAATTCGAAAGACAAGAGGTAGCGTAACTGGTTTTTATTTCTGTTTTTTTCTAGGTTATATGCAAAAATAAATAAATAAATAAATAAAAATAGACTTATAAAATATTGATCTCACAGTAGGGTAAATAAATTCCTGTTTAGATGAAAGTTCTTGTTTAGAAATAGTTCAAGAGAAGGACAGGCTCAAAGATGAGGCTGTCTTGAATAAATTAAATCAGCCAGTGGTTGCCGGACTGAGCTGTATCCGAGCAGGATGCTCTTCGTAAGGTAGCGGCGAACCCAGCTACCTCGCTGTATCTCTTGGAAGAGATATTAATATCGCTCTACGCAGAGCGAGGAAAAAAACGAGAGAATGTTTCTCTCTCTACTTACTGCAACAAACTCTCACTTTTTTCTCTCTATCTCTGGAACTGCATTCTATGATTTTGTTCAAATTGTCCTGGGCGTGTCGGAAAAACTTCCAGGATTTGTCCGTAATTTTTAGAAGCGCCTCTTGATTGGCGAGATCACTTTGATTAACAACTGAATATGATGAAGACAGTCTGGGAAAAAGTCCATGGGAACTTTTCGATTCCAACTGGGGTCTCAAACCGGGTGGTCTGAGACACTGAACCTATGAACTGATGAAAGGGAACTGAACAATGTCTCCTTTCGAACAACTAAAAGAGGAACAAAAAGCTGAGATTGTTTTGTGACTGCTGGTCACTTCCTTTTTCCTAGAATTCGGAAGAAATACTCTGCCCGTGGGAACTTTCGAGGTGGTCATTCCTTTTCTCAGCACTTTGTGGTGGTCGATAAAACAGCTTAAGACGTTACATATACTTATATAATGGCAAAGGAAAAGTGAAATCTTTTATCAAATAATTATCAAACTAAGACTTTTATCAAACCTATTGCAATAAAGCAATAATGCATCCACCTATTGAGAATTAAAAGTAACTTCATCATTCTTAATCTAATATCAAAAGTATTTTCTAAACTTATATAGTTTCATTATGTTTACTCTGTGGTTTATGCAAAAATAAAACGTAATCCATGAAAACCTACAACTGCTTACCATATTAAAAAATTTCTAGTACCAGACAAATATCTCTATGACTATAATCTTCATCATCCATGTCAGCAGATCATTTTTTCCCCTTTTACGTGCGATAAAAAACTATGTAAAATAGAATCCTAACTTTAATTATAATAGCCCCTTATGTCTATTTAACTTGGTTAAATTTTCTTTCTTTCATTAAAAAAAAAAAAAAAAAAAAATGCTTATAAATCTTTCTATACTGCACCATCTCATAATTTTTTCTTGCCATATGATTCTCACATGTTGCTTATGGTGTCTATAATACATAAAGCTTCTCACAATAATAACATTAAACTTTGAAAATCAAAATTTTAATTAATCAGTATGGAAAAATTTTACAATTATAATATTCTAAACATCCACATCGGAATCTCTGCATTTCTGTCTCTTTCTGTGTTGCCAAAATGTACTCTGCTGCTTCACTTCTGTCACTATATACATAATAATCCCGTGAATAAATTAATAATTTAAAAAAAACTTGCATGTGTAGTGCGTTATGAATATTTTGTCAATGAGAAATAAAAAGCATTTAACAGGACAAAAGTGCTGCTATATCTTCACACACAGTTCCATCCTCATGCACCTACTAAATTACTTCTTAAAAATACTACCCAGCATCACTTCTACATCAAGCATCCACAAAACTGTTATTATATACAGTCAAAAGTCGTTAATCCGGACTCGTCGGGACTTCGGCGATTCCAGATTATCGATTTTTCCGGATTATAGATCATCAGTTTAAATCGCGTAAGATGGCATGCAGAAATTCTAAAATTAAAAATATGAAACCTTAATTTATGAAATAAAGAACAATTATGATCTAAAGGGTATCAAAATTTACAAAAAAAAAAGCTTAATATTTATTTGTTTACTTTATTAAACATTTCTTTCAATGCAAGTTGTAAGTTGCTTCGTTTTATGTGATAATACTTTCTTTTTAATTCTATAAACAGACATAATTTTTTGTTCACTTACAAAGTTCCGCTGTTCAAGTCCCGTTAATTGCTGTGCCGAGAATACCAACTAACTTGTCAATCGAAATTTTTTCGTTTTCACTAACCTCTCTGTCACATTCTTCATGTCTTTATCTATTTTTTGCAGCAATTCAACTTTTTGTTTGATGGACATCGAAACATACTTTCGTTTTGTACGATCCTTTGGGAGCTCCAGAATCAAAAATTCTATTTGACATAATCGAAAGTTCAAGTTTACTTTTATAGTATTGCTCTTACAGTCTGCAAAAAATAATAAGCGGATCCAATTCGAAAATTAAGGAACAACGCAATCATCAACATTAACTGAAATAGATAATTAGATAATTTTAGCTTACACCGTACCGTCCGTTATACATAAAACGCGCAGGCGAAAACTTATTCTGCGCTTGCGCACACGCAAATGCGCTGTCGTAAGAGGTCTTACGCGCACGCGTAAACGCCTATGCGCATGTGTCAACGCGGCGCATGCGCAGAAAGTTGTTAGCTTTGAGGTCTGGATTATAGACCATTCCGAATTATGGGTGTCCGAATTAACGACTTTTGACTGTTAAATACTTAAAATGCACATTTCTGACTATTTCACCGACATTCAGTTTTACAAAGTCAAGGAGAGAAACAAATGATTACAGTCAAAAGTCGTTAATTCGGACACCCATAATCCGAAATGATCTATAATCCGGACCTCAAAGCTACAAACTTTCTGTGCATGCGTTGACGCACACGCATAGGCGTTTACGCCTGCGCGTAAGACCTTTACGGCTGTAAATATGCATGTGCGCATAAACATAATACATCTATGCATGCGCATTTAATGTATAACGGACAGTATAAGCTAAGCTAAAATTATCTAATTCAGTTAATGTTGCAGATTGCGTTGTTCCTTAATCTTCGAATTGGATTCGGCTTATTATTTTTTGCAGACTGTTAGAGCAATTTTATAAAAGTAAGCTTGAACTTCCGATTATGTCAAATAGAATTTCCAATATATATTTACTAATATGTAAAGGATCTACAAAGCGAAAGTATGTTTCGAAGTCCATTAAACAAAAAGTGGAATTGCTGCAAAATATAGATAAAGGCATATCCTTTTTTTATCTAACCATTCCGAAATATGTTTATCAATTTCACACTGCTCTGCGGGGGGAGGGAAACGACGCGGCGTGCAATGAATTGGAAGTTGATCTGTCAGCACTATCCTTATCTTCAGGGCAGATGTTTTTATTTTATTTGGCTTATAATTCCTTACCAAATGTAGTATTTCATCTCGATGTACTCCATCTTTGATATGATTTAAATCAAGTTCCTCGTCATTATAATTTGCTTCCGATAGTGAAGAAAGTGACACAGAGGTTATTGAAAACAAAAAAAATCGATTGACAAATTAGTTGGTATTCTCGACACAGCAATTATAGGACTTGAACAGTGGAACTTTATAACTTAACAAGAAATTATGTCTGTTTAATAGAATTAAGTAAAGAAAAGAATTGAGAAAGTATTATCACATGAAACGAAGCAACTTAAACAACTTACATTGAAAGAAATGTTTAATAAAGTAAACAAATAACTATTAAGCTTTTTCTTTCTGTAAATGTTGATACCCTTTAGATCATAATTGTTCTTTATTTCATAAATTACGGTTTCATATTTTTAATTTTATAATTTCTGCATGCCATCTTACCAGATTTAAACTGATGATCTATAATCCGGAAAAATCGATAATCCAGAATCGCCAAAGTCCCGACGAGTCCGGATTAACAACTTTTGACTGTACAGACTACATATACACAGATAAAAAGAACTTTAAGTAAAAAGATTCAATTTTTTAGAATTTCAGGAAAAAGAATATTAGTAAAAAAATATATGGCTTTTATTTTTAAAATCTTGATAAAGAAAATGTGTATTTTCACAAAAAAAGTCAAATTATAAATAAATACCACATGTTTAATCAGGTGCTAACCTCCCCCTAAAAATTTGAAAAAAGCCTAATATTAGTTGAAAACTAATTTAACAAAATTTAAGATTTAAAAGTCGTTAAGCTACCTGCTTTTGATTTAACATGAAATTCTTAGAATACATGCAGAAGTTCTCAAATAGAGTATTTAGAACAGGGAAGTTATTTGACTGTTTGGAGATGCTTTTAATTTAGAGATCTCAGTAGTGACTGAATTTTACTGTAACTGTAACTGTAACTTCAAGAAAAATCCTAAGAAACTTTAACTTTCACAAACATTTTATGATCATAACTTATAGAAATGAAATAAAAAGTTTCCATTTTATTTATGAAACTTTTATTTCTTGCTGAGAAGATTTCTCACTATAATTTTGTATTAATTTTAAAATACCAAACTTTGATTTCAGCTAAACATTAACCATGCATTAAATTAATTATTAAATGGAATTCTCTAAATATTCAAGAAAATTACCCAAACTTAAGAAACTACATTAATTTCTTCCAAGCTGGACCACATATGGAAAGCAAGCTTCTAAAGCTATTACAATATTGCATGAACATGAATTATTCAATTTAAAAAAAAACACATATTCTTAGGTTATTTCAATTTTTAGGAAAACCTGCAATATTTATCTAAATAGTTGAAAGTTAGACTTTTCTCTAATTTAGAAAAAATATATCTGTATATTTTGTTTTAACATATGCATGCCATAAATATAATTGTTGTTGATGCTCATTATAA